TTCTAAACATTAGAGACATTTGAAACTGCAAATTAAGTTAATTTATTTTTAATACTTTCTCATTAACATTGAAAAATAAAAATAATGATATTCTACTTTTTAAACTTAAGCCCAAAATAATTACTGACTAATGGTCGAATATGTAATTAGGTGAATAATTTATAATTTGTGAACTTGTTTGTATGTATATATGTGTACATATACACAAATATTAACGCCAAACATTCGGTAGAATTTATAGAATATTGTAAAATATACATATACATAAAGAAAAACGTATATACTTATATATATGTACCATATATATATATATTTATATATATATATATTTATATGTAATCAATGTATACATTGGTTACATATATATATATATATATATATATATATATATATGTTGGTAATAGACCATAATTTTTACAATATTCTATAAATTCTACCGAATGTTTGAACATGTTAACGCCAAACATTCGGTAGAATTTATAGAATATTGTAAAAATATATATATATATATATATAAGCATGTATGAATTGTTTATTTATATATATGTAATTGTTAATTTATGATTGGCAGATGTTTCATTTTTAAAATTTTATATTAGACATTAGAAATTACAAATTATAGCGTCTTTGTACTATCGTTTCATGCAATTTTGAGAAACGCAGTTTGTCTTTATATAATTTCTTTCAAACATTTTAACACTTGATTAAGCTTCGATAGCACAGGAATTCCCAAATGTATGCTTACACCAAACCACACGCGTGTAATAATGGTGGTTTTTTTGAGTTTCAGAGGGAGCGCACATGAAATGAACCAGCACCAGATCAAATTGCAATAACAAAAACGTGATGCATATAGCTTTTTAACTGACTCGTCTACCAAATTTTTGCTACAATTGCAATGAGTTACAATTAAACGGCATATTATTCACAATTTTCAACAACTTACTATTGCAATATCTTTAAGACATGCAGTTGTTAATTAAATGAAACATTTTTAAAAATTTATATAGGTATTGCTCTCTTTGTAAGTATCATTTGCAAAACTGGTTTGACGGCTATAAAACATTGAGACATCGGGTGGTGCTATTTAACAGTATTCTCATTTCTCGCGCTTTTTGTATTAAAAGCCACTTAGCAAATTTTTAAATTAAAAATTTTGTCATTGTAATTAGTTCAGAGTAGAAGACATTCTTCGTGTTGGTAGCAATGCACTTATGTTGCTGCAATGTTTGTAGAGCGATCAACATTAACATTTAGAGAACGTTTTGTTAGGTTGCTGTTACGATTTAAAGAACTGAAGTTCAGGTTTTGTGCTTCCCATTCAAACTGGTGCACTTTAAATTATGTTTTTAATAAATAAATTAGAAAATAAAAGTTAGTTTAGTATAAGATGAAAAAAAAATTAAAGAAATAATTTTTGAATATATTCGATTTTAAAATGGCTTCATAAATCGTCCATTTTTTAAAATTTATTGAAACATTTAAAAAATAATCATTTAAAACACATTTGTATCCCACTCATTCGCGTTGCACTCTTATAACCTACTGTCATGGTTGCATTACTTTCGTAAAAAATGACTTGTTGCGAGACAACATCAGCACTACAAACAACGACAACAACAATTAAACAATCAGTTTAAACCGGTAAAAGATTTTTTTTAATCGGTAAGGTTTCACGAGAGCAAATAAATTACATCTGCAATAAAATTTTACCAACTGTTCAGCGTGCTTATGCGAGCCCTACAAAAAATAAATTAATATTTGAGCTACATTCAACTACTCTTTTCTAATATATAAAACACAAAATTAACAAACAGATTTTGTATTTTTACAGTTTTTACTAACAAGAATAGGCCAAATAAACAAAAAATGTTCCAGATTGGATTTTTTTTTCAATTAAAATCATGCCATAAAAGTTTTCAACATTGACACGGTCTACCACTTTAAAATCTGTTATAAACTTAAAGTCTGAAATGTCTGAACTTGTTTGCAGATGATGAAGAGAAGAGCCATTGAAACAATCCTCATAATCTTCTTGTTACTTAACCTGGTTCAGGTGCACTCTCAGAGTTAGTTTTAAACACAATTTGTTAGGTAATGTTTCTCAGTCGTGAATTTGAATGTTTAAATTGTAACATTTTCACTGAAAGATTGTGTTCAGTCACCCAACCTGGACATCGTGTTCGTCGTCGACGAATCTGGCAGCATTTGTGACACGGATCCCGGGTTTGTGTATGGACGGGATTCAACCTGCACCAACTTCAGGAACCTCCTCACATTTGTTAGTAACTTGGTCGACAGTTTTACAATAGGACCGTCGAATTACAGGGTTGGAATGGTGACATTCAGTAGTTCAGCCGAAGTCAGATGGAGATTAGACAGGTAATGCCGAAATGATTGATTAGTTTTTTTATATTTGATTTATGTTAAATAATGTTGTTTACAAATGCAAAAATATTATTTGCTTTACATTTAGGTATTACACCAAAGCTGATCTCCAAGCGGCAATCAACAGCATTCCATACACTGGAGGCAACACATTCACGACGGGAGGTATAAGGTTGATGAGGACTCAAGTCTTCACGCAGTCAGGGGATCGTCCAGATGCTTCCAACCTCGCCATCATCATCACTGACGGAAAACCAACCGTAGAAATTGAGAATTTACAAAGTGAAATATCCGCTGCATTGGGCGCTGGAATCAAATTAATCGCCATCGGAGTAACAAACAGCGTCGATGAAGGAACATTGCAGTCCTTGTCATCTCCTCCTAGACAGATCAACAGAGATTATTTCGTGGCTCAAAGTTTCCAAACTCTTGACAGCATTAGATCACTGATTCAACAGAACGTCGTCTGCCCTTGTAAATTATCTTGTTCATATATTATTTACTATTACTTTTGTGAAAATAAATTGCTCACCATTTTCTTTTTCTCAAAACCCAATAACAGCTACAGTGATTATAACAACAACGATGCCACCAGTTCCAACTTCAATAGGTATTCAATTTTTTGGTGATTGGGAAATAGTTAATAAACCTCTTTCTGAATTACTATTCAAATAAAAAATCAGGGATTAAAAACTTCAATTTTTTCCAAACCAAATTTGTTTTAATTAAATACAATTTTGTATCACTTCACTCACATTAATTTATCAATTACTTATTGGAAGGCTGTTCACAGTCACCCAACCTGGACATCGTGTTCGTCGTCGACGAATCTGGCAGCATTTGTGACACGGATCCCGGGTTTGTGTATGGACGGGATTCAACCTGCACCAACTTCAGGAACCTCCTCACATTTGTTAGTAACTTGGTCGACAGTTTTACAATAGGACCGTCGAATTACAGGGTTGGAATGGTGACATTCAGTAGTTCAGCCGAAGTCAGATGGAGATTAGACAGGTAATGCCGAAATGATTGATTAGTTTTTTTATATTTGATTTATGTTAAATAATGTTGTTTACAAATGCAAAAATATTATTTGCTTTACATTTAGGTATTACACCAAAGCTGATCTCCAAGCGGCAATCAACAGCATTCCATACACTGGAGGCAACACATTCACGACGGGAGGTATAAGGTTGATGAGGACTCAAGTCTTCACGCAGTCAGGGGATCGTCCAGATGCTTCCAACCTCGCCATCATCATCACTGACGGAAAACCAACCGTAGAAATTGAGAATTTACAAAGTGAAATATCCGCTGCATTGGGCGCTGGAATCAAATTAATCGCCATCGGAGTAACAAACAGCGTCGATGAAGGAACATTGCAGTCCTTGTCATCTCCTCCTAGACAGATCAACAGAGATTATTTCGTGGCTCAAAGTTTCCAAACTCTTGACAGCATTAGATCACTGATTCAACAGAACGTCGTCTGCCCATGTAATATTTTTTTTATTATTTTCAAATACAATTTATTAATAAACATTAAATTTTAACTTGGTTATATTTTTCTGCACAGCTACAGCCTTGATTACAACAACAACTCCATATCCAACTTCACAAGGTATTTATTACTTTTCAATTCGTACAACTTGATAAGTTTTATTTAAAAACCTGATATATTTATTCGACAAATTTTCATTCAGTTTTTTTCATTTGAAAGGTTGTTTTCAGAGCAATTTGGACGTGGTGTTTGTGGTTGATCAATCGGGAAGCATTTGCGATACAGACCCTGGATACGTTTATGGTCGAGATACAACCTGCAATAATTACAAAAGTTTGCTTAACTTTGTTCATAACGTTGTTAATAGTTTTAACGTTGGCTCCAACGCGTACATGGTTGGACTGGTGACTTTCAGCTCTTCTTCCGAAGTTCGATGGAATTTGGCAAGGTAAAATATGGCATAGAATAAAATACCACTAAATATTATATGATATATTAAATTTTTTTTTAGAAAAAGTTGTTATTATAATTTTTTGCAAATATTGATTCAAAATATTAATTCCGCTTTTTCCATGAAGTGTTTAAATCAATAAACTTTCATAATCAGGTACAACAACAAAAATGATCTTTTGGCAGCAATTGATGCCATTCCGTACGTTGGTGGCAACACAAACACGGCAGGAGGGATTCGACTGATGAGGACTCAAGTTTTCAATTCTCAGGGGGATCGTTCAGACGCAGGAAATCTTGCAATTATTATTACTGATGGAAAACCAACTATTGATGTTGAAAGTTTACAAAGTGAAGTTTCTGCTGCTCAAAATGCCAACATAAACATGATTGCAATCGGAGTAACCAACAGCGTCGATGAGACAACTTTGAGATTGTTATCCTCACCTCCAAAGCAACTAAATAGAAATTATTTCATCACACCTGATTTTAGTAGCATCGATACTATAAGAAGTTTATTGCAACAATCCGTCAATTGTGGCAGTTGGTATTACGATTTCTATTGAGTTATAGCTAAAATATTTTGTTGTTTAAATACATTTCAACTTACAGATCCAACAACTACTCCGAGTCAGGTGATTTCAGGATCTCAAGGTAAAAGAATTGCTTACGTTTAAAATACACCAGAACTAAAAATTTAAAATGCTGTTCATTTTATTTAGGACCTCCTGGCTTGCCAGGAATACAAGGAGCAACAGGAGTTACTGGCGCTACTGGACAAACAGGAAGTACGGGTTCTAGTGGACCACAAGGTCAACAAGGTTATCCAGGTCCTTTAGGATTTACCGGAAACACGGGACCACAAGGTTTTACTGGTCAAACCGGTCCGATGGGATACCAAGGTTAATATATTTATATGGTTTATTTTGTTTCTGTTTTTCAATTTAATATTCAAACATTACTTTAATTTCAAAGGTTCTCCTGGCTCACCTGGACAACCAGGATCTCAGGGTTATACGGGAGCTACTGGCCCAGCAGGTCCATCAGGACAACCCGGAAGAGATGGACAATCAGTTTCTGGACTGAACGGTCCTCAGGGAGACACTGGTTAACAGAAGACAGTTGCAATTTATTTTGAAAAGTCGAAAACAAAAATTTATTTATTTAGGAGCTACTGGACAAAGAGGATCGCCTGGAAATCAAGGTTCCCCTGGAGCTCCAGGTAATCCAGGAGAAAGAGGTCCTATAGGACCAATTGGATTTACTGGATCTTCTGGATATCCTGGACCAACAGGTCAGACAGGTCAACCAGGACAATTTGGTAAAACGGGTGCAACAGGAAACACGGGTCCACAAGGTTTTCAGGGAGCTACTGGAGCAACAGGATTTCCAGGCAACTCAGGCAACCCCGGCCAGCCTGGACCTCCAGGTTCCCTTGGCCCGAGTGGTCCTCCTGGCTCACCAGGCGGCTTTGGTTTTACTGGTTTTACCGGTCAAACAGGAGCTACAGGTTTGAAAATTTGTTTTCCAGTAAAAAAAATAAAAATTGTTCACTTTAAAAACTTAAATATATTTGTTGTTTAAACAAATGATAAATTTGTGGCAATTAGGTGTAACAGGTCCCCAGGGATTTCCAGGTCCCCCCGGTTTCACTGGACCGGCAGGTTTGCAAGGTGTACCTGGACAACCTGGAAACAATGGACAACCTGGAGCTACTGGGCCCACTGGACAACCAGGATCTGGTTTTCCAGGTTTTTATTACAATGTTTTAGAATTTATTTTCAATTTTTAATTTAATGTTAAACATTTTTGAACTAAAAATTCTATAACTAAATTATAAATTTTTAAAGGAGCACCAGGTTTCACAGGATTTACAGGAAGTACAGGAAATACCGGAGCGCAAGGTTTACCAGGACCTCAGGGGTTTACCGGTCCATTAGGAAGAACTGGAGCAAATGGTCAGTTTTTCTAAATTGTTTTTAATTGTTATAATAAAAAATTTTTTGAGCACATTACTTTTTTACAACAAAGGGTCTCCGGGACCACAAGGGCCGCAAGGTTCTAGAGGGTTGGATGGATCGACAGGACCAAGAGGGTTACAAGGTTCTACCGGATCATCTGGAAATCCTGGGCGTCAAGGACCAACTGGAGCAACTGGATCATCAGGGCAAATGGGTGTTCCCGGTCCACGGGGAGATCAAGGATTTACAGGTATAATTATGTAGCATATTAAAGCTAACGTAAATGTTATCTAATACATAAATTACTCCTATATCATAGGATTACCTGGACAGTCTGGATTTCAAGGAGCAACTGGTGCTACTGGTCCTGTTGGACCGGCCGGTCAACTTGGTTTTCCAGGTCCTGCAGGTTCTGTTGGTTCTTCTGGGCAAGCTGGTCAGCAAGGGTCTCCTGGTAGAGATGGATCCCCAGGACCTCAAGGGTCTACAGGAGCTACTGGTTTTCCTGGAATTCAAGGTTACACTGGTTTAACAGGGAGCACAGGACCACTTGGACAAATAGGTTTTCCTGGATCGGTTGGAGCAACAGGTCAACCTGGACCCCAGGGATTAATTGGAGCAACTGGTCCCAGTGGACCGGCGGGTAAATATTTAAACATAATAATTTAATTATTTACATGTGAAATTAATATTCGTTAATAATTTTTTTGTTTTGTCCAATTTCAAGGTAATCCCGGGCCACAAGGTATCAGAGGAAATGATGGAAACAGAGGAGACCCAGGGCAACCGGGCTACACAGGTTCTACGGGGAATCCAGGTCCAATGGGTGCCGTTGGATATACCGGATCATCAGGATCTCCAGGATTTCCAGGTTACGCTTTGTGTGTTTGTTATTTTTGTAAAGTAATAACTTACTAATTATATTTTTTGCATTTCAGGATCTCAAGGATTTACGGGAATCACCGGAAGTACAGGATTCACTGGCCAACCAGGTCCAAGAGGATCTGATGGAACACCAGGCAGAACAGGAGCAACTGGTTCGCAAGGAATGCCAGGTCCATCTGGACTTCCAGGATCAAATGGTTTACCCGGACAACCTGGAAATACTGGACAAATCGGTGAACTTTTAGAATTGGCTGATGAAATTGTTTTTTGTTTTATGTTAATATACTGACTGGCGTAATATATTTGTTTGTAATGCGTTTAAGGTATGCCTGGTGCTACGGGTCCAGCTGGATTGATAGGAGCTACAGGACCTGCTGGTCCAATTGGATCACAAGGACAAAATGGGAGACCAGGAGACACTGGTCCTTATGGACCTCCTGGACCAGTTGGACCAAGTGGCAGCCCTGGTGGCATTGGGAGAACTGGAGTTAGGGGAGATACAGGTTTGTTTTGAAATACTTTTATTGAAATTGTCAAATATTCCATATTAAAATACAAATTTTCATATATACTTTTTATATATTTCTGCTTATATTTTTGAATATTTTAATTAATTCAAATGTTGTAATTATCTAATTATTTAAAAATTGTAGGTAAAAGTTTAATGTTAAATTTTAAACAAACTGGATAGGTTATACCGGCGCGCCAGGTCAGCAAGGAGTGCAAGGCAATACTGGTCCGCAAGGAAATCCAGGTGGTGCAGGTTCACCAGGTCTTCCTGGGCCCACGGGTCCTAATGGATTGATAGGAAATACTGGCTTCATGGGACCACCTGGTCCAAACGGACTTCCAGGACAAATGGGTTTTACAGGTGAGATGCTTTACAATTTTGTACGTACAGGTAAACACACGCGCATGCACACAAATATGAATAAATGAATAAATAAGTGGATATATTAAAATACAATAAATAGGCTTTCCCGGTCCATCTGGAAATCCAGGAAGTCCTGGAAACCCAGGAAGCCAAGGACAGCCAGGTGCAACTGGTTTTCAGGGTTTACCTGGAGCAACCGGATTTCCTGGATCTCCAGGGTCTCCAGGAGATAGAGGTTTTACAGGTAATCAAGGATTAAAGGGACGTTCTGGAGCTACTGGCGCCACTGGTTCTCCTGGATTTGGAATTCCAGGTAAATAACTTTTTTAATTTAATATTATTTTAAATAATCTTTTAATAAAGCAATTTCAAATACAAAATGAGTACCGACATTAAAATTTGAAACAAGTATTGATGTTGAAATTGAATATGCGGAGACCTAATAAGATTGTTATCTTTTTACGCAGGTAGGAATGGAATTGATGGTATACCTGGGTCCATGGGCTTTACAGGAGCAACTGGTTTTCCTGGCAATCCCGGTAATCCGGGACCTTCGGGTCCACCTGGTGAATCCGGAGCAACTGGGCCAGTTGGTTTTCCAGGGAATCCAGGTTTTTTTATTTTTAATATTTGCATCAAACTTGTTTCAATTGTTGGCTTTTGTTTATTTAATATTGCATTATCAATTTTAAGGTGCGTCGATTCCCGGTCCTCAGGGATCCACTGGCCCAGTTGGGAGCCAAGGACTCATGGGACCAGCAGGTCCAACGGGAATCCCTGGACCTCCTGGACCTCCCGGATTTGCTGGATCAATAGCTGCTGCTTCAACCGGTTGAGTTTGAGTCAATTGTTTGTCTCTAATTTTTTTAAATTATGCATGAAAAAGTTTACAATTGTGTTATATTAATTTCCTTTATAAGGTGCTTGCGAACAGGTGAATGAATGTAAGATGAACAACGGGTTATGTTCTCAAGCGTGTGTTGACACTTACGACAGTTATTACTGCACGTGTGATCCAGGGTTCGATTTGGAATTCATCGCCATGTCAACTCAACAAGCCAACTGTCCAAGTTTGATTTTATTAATAAATTTTAACTTTATTTTAAAATTTTTCTAAATTTATCTTGCAATTTTTCAAGCATAAATTTTGTCAAAAATTTAAGTTTCAGTAAAAATGTTTCACAAAAATAATTAGTTTATATAAAAGGATGAAATTCTAAGGATCAGCCCAGTTGAGCACGATAGCAAGTGACGTGGTTTTTATAGTGGATAGCAGCTACAATGTTTGTCTCTCTAGTGTTACTTGCTCCTTGTATACAAGAGAACTTCAGTTCGTCAATAGAATCATTGATTCCCTCAACGTCAACAACAACCAAAAAACACGCGTTGGACTGATCACTTACGCAAGCAATGCTAACAACAGATTCTTCCTCAACGCTTACAGCGAGTTAGAACATTTAATCTGTTACGCCGTAAAATATGCAAAATTTAATGGTTTCATCAATTTTTTTCAAGATTTAGTTACTCAATACGTTAATTAGTTGACGTTTTCTTTATTTCAACTTCAAGTATCACCTCCTTGAAAAACGGAATTCTAAACACTGGATTCCAAGGAACCCAAGGCACAAACCTTGCTGAAGCCATACGCAACGCTAGGACTAATTTTTTCATAGAACAGAATGGGGATAGAGGTGGTGTCCAAAATTTCATTATTATTCTTTCAAATAGCTTCCAAGCGCCGAGTGATGTAACCAGCGCCGCTAACGAGGTAATTTCAAATTGTGTTTTGAAGAGCAACATTTTATTTAATTATAATAACCTTTTATTCTTTTAACGACAATTAAAAATTTTCATAATTTATTCGCAATGCTGGACCTTTCAGATTTAAAATACACATCTTTCAAAATATTTTGCAACTTTGCAGGTGATCACAGCTTACCAACAGGGCATTATAACGTTAGCCGCTAGTGTATCTCAACGTGTGAGTGATGCCAATTTGATCAGTCTGGCCAGCTACCCTCTTGCCCCAAATCCTAGCTACTTCAAAATTCCCGACCCTCCCACGCCCTTTGATTCTGTCGCAGCGTTGATGGCCAACCAAGTTTTGAGGAGTTCAGCTCTTAGCACGTGCGATGGAAAAGTACGAACCCAGTTCAATTAGTGTTTGATTGTTTCAAAATAGAAACCTCAACGAGAAAAGCTAATTTTTTTTTATATAATTATCTTTGAAAATAAGATTTGATTTTGATGCAAGAAAAAGGCAATCTCCCAAAAATTTAAACTCCTCTCACAAACACTTTTATACTGCGCTACTGCAATAAAATGCAAAATTTTTTCTTCCTAATTAATTTTTACAAAAACTGGATGAAAAACAAACTAACCCCATCAAACAGGTTTACGACATAGTCTTCCTGATCGATGGCTACCAATCTAACTGGAACAACTTCAGAACGTACCTGGCGAGATTCGTTCGAGGCTTGGACATAAGATCGTCAGCAAGTCGAGTGGCAGTAGTCATCTACACCGATCAAGCTAGGCAGGCAATCGGCCTCAACCAATACCCAGACGATAAAAATGGACTCCTTAATGCCATTTTGAATCTTCAAGCTCCGGCTAACTTCGCTTCGAGTTCTAACGCCGTCTCGGCTTTTGACTTTGCAAGGACTCAAGTTTTCACCAATCAGAACGGAGATCGATCGGATGTTGAAAATATTGTCATCTTTTACGCTTTCAACCAGTAAGTTTCAAGTATACCATTATTAGTTTGGTTTGGTTGTTTGTTTGAGATTGTTTTTTGCTATGATCAACCATCTTATTTGTTTAAACGATTAATATTAACAACTCATACGATTACGATTTGACGACATTTTTAAAATTTATTACTTCATTACCGCATTGCAAACTATAATATATCAAAGTTTTAAATTACACCAAACTTTAAATTGAAGTTCTCTGCAATTTTCAGATACACTTCCTCACTACTGAGCCTTCAAACGGCCGCTCTTCAAATCCAAAAATCCTCTGGTGCCTACGTATACGCCTACACATCAACCTTCTCAAACTTGAACAAGGTTTCACTTGGAATCATTAATAATTAACTAGCATAATAAATAAACGTGTGGTCGTGCAGATATCTCAGACAATGCTTTTTCATTTTTGAAACTAAGTTAATTATTTCAATTTCACAACCATTCACTTCTCTAGATGGATTTGAAGTACGTTTCATCACATCCACACTTGGAGTACAAACAGTTTGGAGCCATGGATTGGGACTCAACCAGTGCTTTCGATAACGTTGTACTCAGTGATCTCTGTAAACCTTATTATGGTGGGCTGAATTTTCCTACATGACAATTAAAGAAACACCGAATTGCAAAAGATAAATTTCTTCGATATTTTTCAGTATCGTTCAATTAAAAACAATGAAAAAGAGGCATACAAATAATTATACAAATTAAACTTTTTATTACATTAAACAACAGACTACTTTTGTAGATGGACAGCCGGTGGCGGCTTCCAGTGCTTCTGTCCGCTCAACGACTGCGACACTGTTCCTTTGAATGGCACCAAATGTATCGGTTAGTTTTAGCGTTCATTTTGTTTCTTGCAAATTTTTGTGCAACACTTTCTTACGACATATAACGACTATGAGTATCACTCGCCAAGAGCTCTCAATTACATTTTAACATTAATATAAACGGAAAGAAACAAACAGACAGACAGACAAACACACGTACATGAAACATAAACTTATACAGATGTGAATGAATGTTCCAACAACAACGGCGGATGCCAGCAGTTGTGTAGCAACACATTCGGCTCCTTCTCATGTTCGTGCAGCACCGGCTATCGATTGAGTAGCGACAAGATGAGCTGCGAAGGTAACAAAATTCAAAGTACAATTACAAATGAATGAATTTTCTTTACACCAAGTGTTTTGCTAACATGTAATTCTTCTAACATTCATATAAATATTAACTCCAATTATTTTGAACTCACGTGCACAAAGATGTCAACGAGTGTTTATCCGCTCCTTGCTTGGGCAATACAATTTGTGTCAACTCGTTCGGCTCCTTCTACTGCCTAAACAGAGATAGCTTGTGTTAGTTGCATAAATTAATTCATATATCAACACATACACAAATATGCAAGCACACACACACGCAAACACACACATATAAAATTCTTTAGATTTAACGCGTTGCTTCAGTTTAATTTTATTTTGAAGATATCATAGTAACATTGATTCGTTGTTTGAAGTAAGCATCCCTTACTGAAGCTGTTTGATTACTGACGCACACACACACACACAAACACACACACACATGAATAATTTATTCCCACGCCCAGCAAGTGGGAATGCAGCTCTAGAAGCTCCATATCAGTCCGGCGACCCAACAAGCGGCGCAGGTGGTTCAGGCAGCACGACCGCTGGAATGAGCAACACGAGTGCGGTGGCGCTGACAGCTTCCATTTCTTCGGTGCTGGCTTCCACGCTGGTCCTCATCCTCGCCTTCTTCTCACGAATGGCTTACAGACGCCACAAGCGTCAGATGCGTGCGACGAAACGTGGACAGATGCCATCTTCCATGTTCGAAAACTACGGTGCCTCTATGAAGGATACCAGCAGTTTGGGCTCCATTCGTTCGAGGAACTTCAATGCTGATCGTGATGTTGACTCTGTTGATGGCTGATTGCTCTCTCCTTCTGCCTGGGCCCATCTCTATGGTCATGCAATCAGAGAGCTATTTGTTTGTAGTTTATACTCACGTGCCAATAGTTTGTTTCGATGAACTATAGATGCAATAATAGAAAAGAATCGTCAAAATATTTTAGATATTATGTTTCTTGTTTTTATGTCACAGGCTGCCATAATATGATAATGCCAAAATGGAACTTAATCTGCATTCTCTTTTGTAAATGTGTTTGCGCCCAAGTTATAAAAGCTGTTAAAAAAATGTGTCACACAAAGATCTGTGTGCATGTGTGCGAATGTTCATACAGATATTATAACTCCCTATGTTTGACCTCTAAGTTGTCATTTTGTAAGAAACATTTATATCTTCCTTCCAAATAAAAATTGATTAACACAAGTGGAAGATATACATTATATATTTATATATATATATCACATATATCTGTGTGTGTATGCGTGTGTGTGCGTGCGTGTATGTACGCGTGTTAAGGAAGGCAGGCCTTAGAAAATATTTATCCATATCTATAAATTTACACTTGCTCTTTACTGAATTGTAGATGTCTTTAACGAAACATAATTTTCACTACCTTCTAATAATCAAGCATTTTAAATTTGAAAGTTATACAAAAATATTTATTTTGAATTTCTTTTTGAAATGGTTGCATTTTATTGCCCTATCATTCGTAGACCTATACATACAGTTGAGAGTTGCTATATACAGTTGCTATTGACGTTAACAAGTTTAAAATTTCTTATGATGTTTCAATCACTAATTCAATGAACTTTCAACATGTTTTAATTGATTTCGTAATAAGTTATAGAGTTTTTGCAATTACTGAATCACTCAAATGTGCTCTCTTAAAATTAAAAACACGAGGGATGTTGTTGATGTTGTTTGTTGTTGAGCAACATAGAGGCAGGTCCAATGCGTTCGTTAACGTTGTTTCATGGATATATTTGAGGTTCTTGCTCGTTATCACTAACATTTTTATAAATCTGTTCTCATTGTTACATTTATATTTATTTAATTTATTCAAACATTTGTTGATTTAACTTCAAAATGCAATAAACAACATATTTATATCGTACGTTCATGATTGAATTGTCTAGAACATATTCGCGTTTCTCTTATTAATATTTGAGTTTCCAAATACAATTTCAATATAACGACTCACTTGTTTCAATTTTCTACGTTTTAAACAGAAATGATTCCAGTGTTTGATAGACATCAGACAAATCTTGCTAAGGACAAACAAACAGCTATTGAAATCAGGGATCATTCAAATAAACTTTCAAATTCGTGGATCAGCCATGCGGTAGGGTGAGCTTTTCATGGGGGGTGCATTATGTTTAAACAATTTCAAACTGACTGGGTTTGAACCACGAAACTTTGAGACACCCTCGTATATAATGTGCATCCAAAATTTTTTTTAACTTTTTCCAAAAAATAAAATATTTTCATGGTAGATCCTACTCGGAACTGTCTACAAATTGTATCTCATTTCTTGACAAAAAGTTGCTCCTTGCAAGCAAAAGACCACAGTAAATTTTTTAGCTAGTATTTTTACAGAATTTTAATTATTTCTAGACAATTTTAAGCCCCACCATAATGACATTTAAACACGTCTGAATTCGATATAGTTCACTCAACAGTAACATCTTCCAACTTTATAAATCTTTTCAGCACTAACTGATTATATATTAATATTTCATAAACATCTCCACAAATAATTTTGTTGAATATTTTAAATATTTTTCTTCAAAACTTTTTTAGGACAGCAGAGCAGAGTGTAATACAAAACGATAAAGAACAAACAATGAATGCACGCACATACAAACACACACATACACTCACTCATAGGCATGCACACACACACAAATATTTACACTCACACACACATGCACACACTCAACAAAACAAAAGTGAAACAAAATCAGACGAAACTTAATTGTGGACAGACAAACAGTGAACATGAGAAACATGATTTGAATAATAATTATTACATTATTAAAACATTAATAATAATAAAATTATTAATTTAATAATAAAAATAAATTCACAAATAATAGTGAGTAAAGTTAGCATAGGGATAAGTAGGTAGACTGTATTAAAAATGGCACTGGTTAGCCCAATCGAAGGAAAAAATTAGTGATTAATTAATTAATTTATTATAAACGATGACGCCAACTAAAATGGTTTAAAATATGATCATCACCACTATCACCACTACTCCACTCATTAAAGTTTAACTGGTAACAAACTTGCCTGCTTGCTTGAGTTACAATAGCTAACGTTTGTGGTTAGTTATTTTCTTTCGTTATTATTTGTTTTGAGTTATTTCCTGCTACTAATAAATTTTTATTGATATGTTGGTGTTGTTATTGTTGTTGTGTTGGCACTGTTGTTGTGTTGGTACTGTTGTTGTTGTTGTTGTTGTTGTTGTTGCTGTCATGTGGCAGTCTTAATGTTCATATTCAGCCTGCGATCAGGCTCAACATGTGAATGCAACCCAGCCATTGTTGTTGTTGTTGGCTCATCTTCTTCGTCTTTTTCTTATTATTATTATTATTATATTTATTATTATTGTTATTATTATTATTATTATTGCTATTGTGGTAAGTAAGTGACAGTTTTGTGAAACATTTCGGAGCGGCTTTTGTGCTTTTGCGCTATCGCGTGTGCGTGTGTGTAAATATATAAACACACACACACACGCGCGCGCGCGAACATATATGTGCGTGTGTATGCGTGCGTAAGTCTGTAACAAACGTTCCAATCTTTAACATGAGGAGTGTACTCTTGTTACCTTTGTCATTCTTAAATTGCATCACCAACATCAAAATGTGATAAAACAAACTGGTAAGGATGTTAAAACTAACTGATAAACTAGAAAAAGATAGATCCAAAACTCAACTAAATAGAATTATAGGGATAGGATCTGATTTCCTAATGCAGCATATGCCAACGTAAGAGACCTACCATTCACAAATATTATTCAGCTTGATGCCAAAAGTGTAAGCCAAAGTTTTGATAACATAGAGAGAGAGAAACAAAGAGAGAGAGAGAGAGAGAGAGAGAGAGAGAGAGAGAGAGAGAAAGAGAGAGAAAATTTGTGTGTGTTGTGTGTGTTGTGCGTGTGTTGTGCGTGTATACACACATATGTATACAACTTTATATATGCAAATATCGTCAAATACTTTTGAACATACTTTATATATCTATAATATTGACATACACTTTGACTCGCATTGTATACTGTTCGAAGCGCGTTTGCATTACATGAACATTATAATGTTGTATTCGTTATAACGTTGTATTGCTGCTAGTATTGTTGTTGTTTTTGTTGTTATTGTTGATGTAGTTATTATTATTGTTGTTGTTGTTTTTGTTGTTATTGTTGATGTAGTTATTATTGTTGTTGTTTTGCTAAACTTTCAAGCCGACTTGAAAAGAAATAAATCTGACTGTTCAGAATCCACTGTTTATTTGAGCGTGTTGGGACTGTGAGGTGAGGCCAGTGTCTGCAATGCTCACAATGACCATCATTTTTTACTGATCGATCATCGCTGTGAGAGAATTATTTTAAAGGTTGGCCATAGAAATTCTTTTTATTTTTTACTTCTTGTATTAAATTTTCTAGGTCGTTTGATATTGTTACAAATTTTATTTACATGTATGTATGCATAGAAAAAGTTAGTGATTAGTTTTTCGATAATATACTTTTTTATGATAAAAGTATGGCTATTTAATCTACTAACCAATGTTTCTACAGTTTGATAAAAAATTGAATATAAGAATTAAAAGAATAATGTAATATATACTACTAACATTTGATAACATAGAGAAAGAGAAACAGAGCGAGAGAGAGAGAAAGAGAAAGAGAGAGATAAAGAGAGAGAGAATATGTACAGTTTTTAAATAGTAACGTCGACTTTTTGTAACAGCCCTTGCACATAAAATTTGGGGTTACTGACTAGTAGAAAGACCTCCTTCTTTCGTTCTCACTCACTCTATCTCTCGCTATTCTTTTTCTCACTTTCTTTTTATACTACTAATTCATGTAATTACCATACAAAGTCTAATTTATATTATTTTTCCATAGGTTTTAATAATCAAAGCCATAAAAATTTTTCTACGGTTGATGTGAAGTGAGGCGAAGGAAACGATCTGCAAAATTATTTTTAAGTCTTCCATTTGTCGAACGTGAAGGTTAGTAAGATATTATTTCATATGCTCAAATTGTTCGTATTAATTTATTTATGTTTGTATTTAAGTATCTATGAAAAGCGTGCAATGAAAATAACTTTCTGTATTCAAATCTCATAAAATTTTGTAACACAAATTAGTTTAAATATTGGAAATATCATGAAGGGTAGTGGCAGATATATTATTTGATGAATTTAAATTTCATTGAAATTCGCGATGCAAATTTTTCTTTTAACATTTAAATATCTTAATAGTTTGTATCTAGTAGTGAAAATTTTGAAAAAAAGATTGGAAAATAAACGGATAAATATATTGCTATTTGAGAAATGAGATATGAGAAATTTTTCATCACCAATAACGACAATATTATTGGCCTTATAAAATTATTTTATTGTAATACTATTAGTTAGTATCAAATATCAAAATAGTAACAAGAGTCGTCGGGCTTGTTGTTATTATTATAATTATCATTATTATTAATTATTATTATTAATTATTATTATTATTGTCGCTATGCATGATCTTGTTGCGACAATAGAGCCAGAAAGTAACGCGCAAGCAAAGCGTGAAGAGAACACGACATACATAAACTGCTATTATTATTATTATTATTGTTATTAAAATTATTGTTGTTATTAATGCTGTACTAAACAGTTTTTATTGTTATTAACATCGCTGTTAAGTTTGTTCGTCGATATTAATTTATTATTTAACATGCCTGAGTTAGTGAGGTTTTGATTGTGCTCTTATGTATTACCATTGAAAAACTGTACTAAGTTGTACATGTACGTGTAACTATTAAATCATTGATTTGATTTTATTGGTAAATACTGTAGTCTACATTTTAAATTGTAATTAACTTCTGTTTTACAAAAAAGGAATGCTATTTCTTAATAATTTTAAAATAAAAAGAAAGTGTTTATTAAACTCCTGTATGTTTTAAACGCCTGTTCCACATTATAATGAATTATGTAACAGTAAATAAAATTGTGAATCTAATATGAAACTAATCTACAGATAAAAGAAGTGTCTGTAAATATTATTTCATTATTTTAATTTCAAATTGCTAAAGTGTTTTTCATTTCATTCACTATAGAAAGTTTGATAGGATGGGTTCCAAGTTCCGTCTTCTTATCATCGTCACACTTTTCCTTGCCTCAGAAGCCCAACAAAGTATAATAATTTTTTACGTACTTTTCATATAACAATAAAAAGTAAAACATTTTCGTTAAAAATTAATTCAAAAAGAAACTAAATGTTTGTATTATTTGAGTCAAACATATGGAAACAACACGAAAAGGTTATTCAAACAACACAGCGCTTCTGATGATAAATCTTCATTTCAAAACAAAACGATAAAAAACAATTTATTACAAAACGATACAATACAATACAAAACGACAAAATACAATACAAAACAATAAAATACAATACAAAACGCTACAATACAATGCAACGCAACACAATACAACACAGTTTTAAACAAACGCGTTTCCTCTTCCACATCATAAGGATTTCCGTTTCGACTGACTGCTGTCTCGCGCTATGAATTGTACATCAACGGTTCCTTCAGCGCCTCGTCTTCATCCAACGACTGGCGCATGTCTGATTCTTACGACTACATAACATACAACACGTTGATCGCAATTCGAGCCTTTGCAGGCAGTCCTCAATCTGGAATTTTAGGATCATCTTCAGTTCTCAGTTATCTGAAAACCAGTCGAGATTGGAAGTGTTCAAATACAGCAGATTCAAACTGGCAGAATACATATTTCGACGACAGTAGATGGCAGTATGCACGTGAGTTTGGTCCAAATTCGGCAGACACCTCGCCGTGGAGAGTATACGTTCAGAATATTTCTCCAGATGCTCTATGGATATGGAGTGATAATATTTACCAAGATGTTTATTGTCGATACTGTTAGTAGTGGCTGATATTTTTTGTTTCAATGTAAATATTATTGCATAATATTTGATTCATTAGCAATCATTTTTTATCTTACAACAATTCAGTTTTGGCAGCTCCGTCAACACCAAGTGGGAATGTTGGACCGCCAGGTTGATTTTTGATATTTGAAAAATAACAAAAAAGTTATTGCAGCGTTTCATTACTTTAAGTTTTTTATGCTGAAAATAATTTTATAAAACCGTTTTCTACGGCTCCATTTATTTGATTTTATGGTAGTGGTATTTTTAATAAAATATTAAAATTTAGGCAACACAGGGTCCACTGGATGGACAGGGATGACTGGACAGACTGGCCAACGCGGAGTTGATGGTTTCACAGGAGTTACAGGAGCTACAGGGATTACCGGCAATAGGGGACCTCAGGGTCAACCAGGAGTTTCTGGTACAATGGGATTTAGCGGCGCAATTGGTGCCACTGGTTTCAGAGGTGCATAATTTTTAATGTATGACAATAATTCAAAACAACAACTTTAAATCGTCCAAAATTCAAATTCAAATTTTTTATGTTATATCTGTGTCTACAGGCTCTGATGGTCAAAACGGATTTCTGGGACCAGTTGGAAATACTGGAGTCCCAGGACCACCAGGTCCATCTGGACAAGGAGGTAGAGATGCAAGCTCATTGCCAGGACCACAAGGATTTACAGGATTTACAGGTTAAATTGAATATTTTAAAACCACTTTGTAAATAAATCTTTTTGACATGTATATAGTTTGAAAAAAAACTTTGCACGAAAATAACTATTGTTTTTAATTCTAAACTAAAATTTAATCAGGACCACAAGGACAACCAGGTGATCAAGGTTTTCCAGGTTCTGTTGGCTTACCTGGACCTAGAGGAAACGTAGGCTCTCCAGGTCCAACAGGAGCCACAGGAAATCCAGGTGGATTTGGAGCAACTGGATTTACTGGATTTACGGGATCAACTGGACAAATGGGTAATTTGCTTTTTTTTACATAATTGCAAAAAACAATGTAAAACTGAATAATATATACTGTTACTTTTAAAAGGTGCTTCAGGTAGTGTTGGCAATGTTGGACAACTAGGTGTTCAAGGATCAACCGGACCACCAGGTCAACCAGGATCTCCTGGTTCTACAGGAAATCCAGGTAGTCGGGGTCAAACAGGAGCAGTAGGTTCTCTTGGTGCCCAGGGTGCTACTGGAGCGTTTGGTCAACAAGGAGGGCCAGGTTAACGAAATATATAAAAATCATGTTGTTTTATGGTTTGTTGTTATTTACTAAATATTTTCAGGTGGTATTGGGCTTACCGGAAATGTGGGCCAAATTGGCGCTCCGGGAGTAATAGGTTCACCTGGAAACCCTGGTACAAATGGAAATCCAGGACGTACTGGAGCAACGGGTTACACAGGGGGTACTGGATATGGTTCACCTGGAAACATTGGAGCTCCTGGAATTGTAGGACAAACTGGACAAGTTGGTTTTCCTGGACCTCAAGGATCTCCGGGTGTTCAAGGCCAACCTGGATTTCAAGGACCGCAAGGTTTTAATTTTTTCGTAAATGAAATACGAAATAAAACATAAAATTCAAGGATTATCAAAATTTGTATGAATTGATCAATAAATTGACTTTTGATGTTTAATTTAGGCCCGCCTGGAAATTTGGGCTCACCGGGTGACACTGGATTTTCAGGACCTCCAGGTAGCCAAGGGTCTCCGGGAGAAACAGGCAGAAATGGTCCAGATGGAGTATACGGTGCTACAGGTGCTACTGGAGTGTATGGCAATCCAGGTTCAAAAGGACTTCAAGGCGATATGGGATTTCAAGGTAATTGAAACTACTAAATTTTTGTCGGATATAATATTTTGTAATTTGATTTTATTTGTTTTTCCAGGTTTTACAGGAGCAACTGGACAAATAGGTTACCCGGGTGTTATAGGACGAACAGGTGCTTCCGGATTTCAAGGACCAGCAGGTAAAATAGGAGATACCGGTTCAAGTGGACCCAGAGGGCCGACAGGTGTATCAGGCAACCCTGGACAACCTGGATTTATGGGAGTTAATGGACGCACTGGTAATGCTGGTTTTACAGGTTATACTGGGGCTATCGGAGTACAGGGTCCTCAGGGATACACCGGTCAAACAGGAGGAACAGGAAACACCGGACCTTTTGGAATGGTCGGTTCTACAGGATATCCTGGCCCTAGAGGCGTTGATGGTAATTTAAAAAATAAACAATAACTCACGTTGATATAAATTGTTATATAATTTTTATAGGTTCAATGGGTCGACCTGGAGATAATGGATCTCCTGGAGTCAGAGGATCGCTCGGTCCTCAGGGTGGTACAGGTCAAAGAGGACCAACGGGAGCTACGGGTTCAACCGGTTTTTCGGGATTTCAAGGAAATCCTGGAACTCTAGGTTATTAATAATATTTCACTGAATTTTTTAACGTTTGTTCTCAAATTACTTCATTTGAAATTAGGTAATCCTGGACAACCTGGTTTCACCGGACAAGTTGGGTTTCCAGGTCAACCTGGAAATCCTGGAAATCCTGGAACTAACGGCCCAATGGGAATTATGGGTGCAACAGGAATAATTGGTGCCAGTGGATCTCCAGGGTTTACTGGATTTACCGGATCTACAGGATCGAGTGGCCAAACAGGTTTTTTTGTTTGACAAATGGTTTCAAAAATAAAAAAATTTATTTGAAGTATCATTGAATGTATTTGTTGTTTAACAATTTGCGTTATAAGGTCCGAAGGGTCAAACAGGCGTTATGGGCGGAACTGGTTTTCAAGGACCACCAGGTTTTCCAGGAAATAGTGGACAAGATGGCAGACGAGGACAAACAGGCGCTGTCGGAAACCCTGGACCTCAAGGTGGACCCGGATTTCCAGGACCAGATGGTTTCAAAGGCATCAGAGGATCAGATGGTTCGATTATAATATTTCATTATTTTTAAACTTATAAAATTTAATTTTTGAAATTTCAAAATGAAATGGACAAAATAATCAAAAATTTCTTAATTAATAGGCTCAACTGGTCAACCCGGTTTCATGGGACCGCCAGGTGTTCAAGGTTTGAACGGATTCAATGGACCACCTGGACTCCCTGGCAGCCAAGGAAGAACAGGGGCTACAGGAAGAACCGGCGCTACTGGTCCTCAGGGACCTTTTGGGCAACAAGGGCCTCTTGGACCCAGTGGTAGCCAAGGTTGTTTAATAACTTTGTTTAACGTTCATTAGTTATTTTTTCATGTGGGCCATTTTTAAAAAACTTGTATTTTTAATAATCAAATATGTAAAAATGTATGGTTTGAATAGATTTCTATTATAAATATAAATTATGTTAATTCTGTTTAAAAGGCCCAAGAGGGCCCGACGGTCCCCGTGGTAATGATGGTCCGGCTGGTACACCAGGGCCCCAAGGTCGTACTGGAGCTATCGGATTTCCTGGAGCAACTGGCACTTTTGGATTTCCAGGACGGATTGGAGATACAGGTTTCTCAGGCTTTACCGGAGATACTGGCAGAGATGGAGCCGTGGGTCTGCAAGGAGATAGCTTTACTGGCGCCCCTGGTTCTTACATTTTCATTATAACCTGCAAATGCTATCATAATCAATTTTATTGCTTCTCATATAATGTCTAAACAAATAGATTTTTAACAATAATGTACACACACACACACCCCTCCTTCCCCCTCCCCCCCCCCCCACACACACACACACATATATATATATATATATATATATATATATATATATATATATATATATATATATATATATATACATACATGTACTGTCGGTAATTACATTATATACGTTAATATTGTATATTACGATAATATAAAAAAAATTCAGGCAACGATGGACGGCCTGGAGCACAAGGAATACAAGGTACTCAAGGATTTCAAGGCCAACCAGGATCCGTTGGTTTTCCGGGATCAAAAGGATTTACTGGCGGTACCGGACTAAGGGGAGCCAGTGGCTCTCCGGGGCAAAATGGTATTTTTATACTTTTGTTTTTTGCTCACTCTCGTGTGAATTGTATTGATTTCAAACATCCACTGAATGATTGATTTATAATTTTAGTATGCAAATTCCAATTGTTTATTAATTTAAACAGTGTTTGGCCCTGTTGGACCACCGGGCATGATGGGGCCTACAGGATCGACTGGGCCACCAGGACAACCAGGAGCACCAGGACCCCTAGGACCAGCTGGATCAGCCGGATCAAGCGCCGCAGCTTCCACTTCTGGTTAAATTTATTTTGTTTTGATTTCAATATTGCATTTTGATATTTAATTATAAATAAAATTATTTGTTTGTCCTATTACGTTGTGTTTTTTAAACTAAACTTGAAAATTCACAACTCTGTCAAATTTCTGAAATTTTAAATAGATTGAAAAATTTTTAATTGAACTCAGGGACATGCAAACCAGTGAATGAATGCTGGGTCGACAACAGGCTATGCTCGCAATTGTGTGTGGACACGTTTGACAGTTACTACTGCTCCTGTTACGATGGCTATCAATTAGAGACTACGACCAACAGCTGTCCAAGTCTGTTTGGATTTTTATTTCACATCTACAATTTTTAGAACGTTATTGTTGTCAATTTTTGTTTCTGGCGCAAGCAGTGAAGTTTAATAAGCGCTATTTAATTAAATTATTTCAAAACCACGTATCATTTAAATAATAATTTTGCTTGTTTTAATTTTAATTTTATGACAAATAACTTCTATAAATAGCTACTTGAATTATTTAAATGATGTTCTAAAGTTGTTTCCATTACCTTTCATTTGATCTCTCACTTTACACTGTGAAAACATGGTTTTACTTTATAGATTCTCTGCAATGTCAGTCCGTCTCTGCTGATTTGGTTTTTGTGGTTGACAATTCCTTCTTCGTATGCATGAGTGCATCGACGTGTCAGTCGTATCGAGACGTCCTCTCCTTCATCAACAGTCTCATCAACACTCTCAGCAGCAACACCAGAGTTGGCATGGTTCTCTACTCCAGCACATCCACCAACTACTTTTATTTGAATTCACACAACAGGTGACAACATTCAGTTTTTTAGCATTGCTTCAATTTAAATTTTGTAATTATTAATTTTTACAGGTGAGCATTTCGTCGAATCGCTTTGTAACATTACTTGCTACTCATCTTTACAAATTTTAAAATTTTTCATTGATGAAACATTATTTTAATTTAGTTACAAATGTTGAAAATTATAATTAAATTTAAACGACAGCATACAGCAAGTTCAAACGGCCATTACAAGTGCGACGTATGACGGATCAACAGGCTCCAACCTTTCGACCGGTCTCAGGGAAATGAGACTCACTCAGTTCGACCCAACGAGAGATCGCACTGCTGTGGACAATGTGGCAATTATTTTAGCGAACGGAATAGACAACAACGCTGCTAGTGAAGCCGCTTTGGCAATGGAAGCCGGTATAATATTGATACCAATCGGTATTACATCGCGAGTCAGTCGAACTCAGTTGGCCAGTCTCGCATCACCTCCTTTCGGCCAGACTCCTAGCTACTTTGTCTCCGATGCTGGTAATTCTTTCAACTCCCAGCTGCAGACTGTTTCATTGAGAGTATGCCAAAGCGCTTCTCAGAGCCAGTGCCAAGGAATGGTTTGATTTTGTGATGCTACGTAAAAAATACAATTTAAAAAAAGTCTTGAACATATTTAATTTTTTATCGGTTAAAATATGTAGTAGTTTATTAAAAATATTTGAAAACTGCGACTGAATGTTGCCTGCAGGTGATGGACCTGGTCTTCCTCATAGACATCCAACCGCCTTCCTCTGCCACGTGGGATCAGCTGAAAACCTCCCTCGTTCAGATCGTTCAGACCTTGGATGTTGGCCAATCTGCAGTCAGAATCGGCATCGTAACATTTTCATCGGCGGCCGTCGTTACGCAGTACTACTTGAATCAGTTTTTCAGTAGAGACGCCGCCATCAACGCTATCAACCAATTATCAGCGAACGTTCAGGGCACTTCCAGCTCCAACTGGTTGAGTGCCTTCCAAGCTCTCCGCACTTCACAATTCACATCAAACAATGGCGATCGAACTGATGTGCCGAACGTTGCAATTCTCTTTGCTTTCAACCCGTCAACTGTCCAATCTCTTGGCTTACTTGACGGTCTAATAACAACTTTTTTGTTTTTAAAATTGGAATTATGTTTATCGTTGATTTCAATTTTCATGTTTTAGTTTTCCAGTTTTTACAAAACTTTTTTAATCTTTTTTCAGAGGCAGGACGACTGTCGAAGGCAAACATAAAGTTGTACGCGTACGGATGGACGGTTTCCGGCATGGACTCCTCCCTCACCTATATCTCATCCTATCCCCACCTGAAAACTGAACAGTGGGCGTTGATGGACGATACCAAGATCAAGTACTTCCCGTCTACCCTGACAACGGATTTGTGCAGACCTGTACTGCGTTAGTTCGTCTTTTTACAATTTAAAATCGAACAGTTGCTGCCCGTACTATTATTAATTGATCTGTTTAGTAATTCACTGATTAATCTCATATTATTCTTTTATTAATTATCAACTTATGATTTTTTTAATTTTTAAATTTATATAATTGTACAGTAAACAATTGACTTAATCATTCATCTTCTTCATTTACTTGCCTCATTTATTTATACCTAACTAACTTTCTTCTCTATCAAATCAACTCTCATTTTGACTTGTTTGATTCAGGAGATAATTTTCAATCTCATTCAATTTCATCACCGAAATTTTCAGAGGCGAGCTGCCGCAAGACCGAATATGGAGGCTATCAGTGTTTCTGCCCTCTGGATACCTGTGACATCATCCCTCTGAATGGCACTAAATGTGTCGGTAGGTATTGTCGTGTTGGCGTGACGTGACAACGTGGTGGTATGGTATCGCATGTGATGTGATGATATGATATCACATCCGCCACACGATGTCATGTGTTGTTGTACATGTGATTCATCACCATGATAATAATTATTATAGTGATTAATTTTATCATATGCCGTCATCAGCACAACATTCCTAACCATTAAACAAACTCATCATTATTACCCTACAATCATAGATCAATACCGTCTCTATCACTATCATTTTAACCAGTATCATTTTAATCACTATTATCTTAATCAGTATCATTATTTCAATTTCTATCATTACCAGATATCAACGAATGTGCAACTAACAATGGCGGTTGTCAGCAACTTTGTAGCAACTCAATAGGTTTGAAGCTTAGTAATACATTTTTATAATCACCTACTTCTTCGTAATCTTTTGTTTTGCGAGTTTCAGGTTGAGTTCAGTTGAATCTTTAGGACTTTGGCTATATAAATATATATTGATTGATTGACTGATTGATTGATCGATTAATTGATTGATTACATAGTGATTATATAGTTATTTGTTAGTAATTCTTGTATATAAATGTTAATTATTACAATATTCTATAAATTATACCGAATGTTTGGCGTTAATATGTTTGTAGTTCGCCAAACATTCGGTAGAATTTATAGAATATTGTAAAAATTATCGTCTATTACCAACAAAAATGTTAATTAATATATCCATGTAATAACTGTGACATCATGTCTGGGTAGTTATGTACATTTAACGGAATTAAATTAAAATTCACTGGTGTTGTAATATACCTCCATGCCTTGTTCTTTTATGCTGGTAATATCAGTACGTAACAAGCATACACGTTCAAACCTCTACATATAAAATCATGCACACATGCATGTAAGCATACACGTACATATACACAAATACCAATTGCATGCACACATATACAAGTACAAGCTAAAATGCATTCAGACGTAAGAAGGAGTATATTAATCGATGTTTGTTAATTTTTTGATGGCAGGTTCATTCGCTTGTTCGTGTCAGTCTGGATTCAGATTGGCGTCAGACAAAATGAATTGTGAAGGTAGTGGTTCTGATAATGAAAATGATGATGAGCAATGATGATGAACAATGATGATGAACAATGATGGTGAACAATGATGATGAACAATGATGATGAACAATGACAATGGACATTGACGACGAACAATGATGATGAACATGACATGACGATAATAACAATCAACGTTGATTAACACGCTACAAAGAAACATATGATGATAACGAATGATGATAACGATGAAGATTGAAAGAAAACATTGTTGTCACGGTGATAACGATGATGATGAATGATGATGGAGTGACTGCAAAGAGTTATGATGTTGTAACATTTTTATATATAAATGTAAATAAAATATTAAAAAAATAAAAAATGATTTTGCAGATATAAACGAATGCCTACAGCCAAATGTATGCACTTCTGGATATTGCGTCAACTCCTACGGCTCGTTCTACTGCCTCAAGTACAATGCTAACCGTCAGTTCCTTATTCAGTTTTTTTTAATTTCAAGTTCTTCATTGGCTAACTGATGTTGCTTGTTTATATTCACACTTGAGAAACTAAAATAATTTGAAAGCTGCAACAAAATTAACATCAATAAAAATTGCAATGACAATAATTAATATATGATGATAATTTTGGCCTAAGACAGACAAAAAAAATTGACCAACTGTCGATGTAGACTTTCATGATTACTTTCAAAAAATCCATTTAAGCTCCTCCACAGAATCTAGCCTCCATGTTGAATCCTGCCGACAGCAACAACAACAACATGACGTCATTATCGGCGTCGAAGGAAGAACCTATCACAAGCTCCACTTTGGTGATTGTTGGAGCACTATCAGCACTCTTCTCCGTCGTCTATGTCACTCTTTGCACAATCATCTTCTTCGTCATCGTCAGCAAATGTGAAGAGGACGACGACAATGACATTCTTGACGACTGTGACATGCGCAAGAGTAGTAACAACATTTTCTCTCTGGGAGCTGGCTCGCTCAAAGGAAGTGAGTTTGGATCGGTAAAATCCAAATTTGGATTTTTCGACCAGGATCAATTTGGTAACAAAGTTGTGGCCAGAACAAAACGAGAGAAAGTTAGCGGTTCAGCATTTACGAATGATGACGGTGTCGTTGGCAGCACTAACAGCAATGAAGTTAGAGCCAGCGAGGCATAAACATTCCAATGCTCTTCTACTTTTTCTTTCAAATACGGTTGACCAGGCATAGCAATAAAATGAACTTCATTACTTTATGTTAACACTGTGACAAACTTGAATCAATTTGTTCCACGTTAATTAATGACTAACTTCTTCATTCACACATTTTCGTTTTTACTCTTCAATTTTATCATTTATATGCCGTTGATGTTGTTTGATGATTAACACTTCTTTATATTTCAAGATGTTCATTTAAAAAGGAATAGACTGTCTTTGTTTAACGTTCGATATATATATATATATATATATATATATATATATATATATATATATGTGTGTGTGTGTGTGTGTGGTTGTATGCGTATTTATTACACGAGCATTTTACAAGGCATATTAGTTGAACGTATAAAAATAACGCTAACACCTCGTTGAATTATTTTTTAATGTTCTTATTCATTTATGAGTAACAATAAATGATTCAGTCTGACGATGGTGTTATTTCGAGTTGTTGCTTAGTGTATGGAATAAAGCTCAGATAACAATAGGTTACGATAAAAAAATATAACGATAATAAATCATTCAAATAATGGCGGGTTATGGTTAAGTTTTTATCTTCAAGCGTGTTTAATGTAAATTTATAATTTTGTAATAACATACAAGCCCGCGGATTTGTTTAGAAAATCATCTTTATTATCGTTATTTATACAATTCTTTGATATTTCGTTCAAAAATTTAAGTATAAATGCAAATGTCAATTAATATTTAAAGAGAAAAAAATGTTGACTTAGGAAAAAAATTAAACGCTACGACGATGACACCTGCCTAGAAATATGTAATGTGATTTTCCACTAGTTTAGAAATAAAATATTCTGGGGGACGAAGAAATTAAAAATGGACATAAAAATATAAATGATCACACAACTAAAAAACATTTCGAATTAAAGCATTGAGAATTTTGGTTGGAAAATATATGAATTAACGAAGTAGAAAAAAGAAGTGAATTAATTAAAATCAAATCAGATGAACAAACACGAAAGAAATCAAATAGCTTTACTTAATTGTTCAAATTGTTAACAAATTAATTCTTTTCCTCCAGAAGGCACATGAAATGAAACATAGAGTTATATACACATACAATAAAACAAATAAACAAACAAACATATAATCAAATAGCAACACAGAAATCATAAAATACATGACTAAGCTTGATGAAGGTTATGATTAAAAGACTGCAGTGAAAATAATTTTTTGAACTTGCCTAACACTTACACTCCTTACCTTACCTACCAACTAATATGCTTAAATAAGACAGTACATGGCAAATCTGGACCATATCACAGTATAAATTAGCATTCACGCGCACATAAAAATACACACCACACACAAACACACCACACACAAACACACCACACACAAACACATCACACACAAACACATCACACACAAACACATCACACACAAACACATCAAACACAAACACATCACACACAAACACACACGCAAATACACACAAACGTAGCCAGATGCAGTTAATTTACGAAAAAGTTACTAAAAATTATTCTAGCTTTCAATTATATTAACCAATTTACTCTAATTAATAAATTAATTAATTAATTAACCTCAATTAAATCGATTAAAAATGTTTATCACTTTATATCTACCAAAATCTACTAACAAATAAAATGAACTAAAATGAAACATTAGAGACTTCTTAAATGAAAGTAAAAAGTATAGAATTAAAATATTTACAGGGACTTGCTTGTAAATGAACTTGAGGAATAAAGAATGAACCAACAAATACCTTTATAAGTACATACCCATGTGTTTAAGTACACATATATATAAATGGATAAATATCTAATATTATATGTAGTACACACACACACAAACACACACACACACATATATATATATATATATATATGTGTGTGTGTGTATGTGTGTGTGTGTGTGTGTGTGTGTGTGTGTGTGTGTGTGTGTGTGTGTGTGTACATATATATACACCAATCACTTAATCAAAAACTATATAATAATTAAGTGGTCACCAATCAATAACTTAAGGCATAAAATTCCTCGATTATTGTGATGATGTAGAGTCAATTTAGTTAAAGAATTGTTATTTTAATTCTTACAAAAATTTTTTTGGAAATTTAAAGTAGAAAAATAAACTTTAGAAGCAGAATCACAATTTTTTCTGAAACCTGCGGAAATCTACGACGACCACATTACTCAGCTCTCCATCGTCGTGGTAGAACGATCGTCTGCAGCTACAGCGGCGGAAGAACTACTTTCATATTTGAAAACAACGTCAAACATTTTCCCGCCAATACTCTCTGCCAGCCATTTATTTTTAAGAATGGTCACCTTGAGTACGTCGCACGAGAACTTGGCAAAGAGATTTGTGTGGATGGAGCGTCCCATTCCTTCGAGAATTATCAAATCCGTGTTCAGTTCCATCATCTTCTGGCCCAAATCGTAGTCTATGTATCTGTGGTGTTTCAGTGTTGAGGAGAATGAATTATATTGGAACAACCGAGGTTGTTGTAAAAATAGAAGTTAATTATATGACAAACATTACGTAGTTTGTGTTAAATGGACGTAGAGCATAATACAGTTATATTTCATACATGAAAAACACACACCCAACCAACCTTAAATCCAAACAGGGCGACCCTTGCCCACTCTCCATGACCAATAAGCGTCCGTCGTTTAGGGCAAGGTTGATGACGTCACACTGCTTGGCTAATCGTTTGGTCAGTATGATGAGTTCGTGGTACGTTACATCGTTGAGGACGGGACGAGAGTTAGCGCACAGGATGACCTTGAAAAGTTTCAATGTAGTTGCAATTAGTTGATGTTAATTAAAAGGGATGGTGCTTAGACATTTTAAATATTTTAGGAATAAAACAATCTTAAACAGCCCTTAATGATGAACAACAAGCACATGCACCACAACCGCCCATCCAGCATTTCTTCATTGATACATCCTCCTCACCTTCGAACCCATTTTCAGCAGGGCTCTGGAAAATGGGAAGATTCCAAGAATGATGTCCAGACCACTGTTGTCCACGAAGATGACCACGCATTTGTACGGGACTCCCTTTTCAACTCTCAACATCCAGCTATCAAAGTTGTCTATCAACCATGGACGTTCTAAAAATAAACGTTATTATACAGCCATGATGACGAGAAATATCAATTACAAATTTACTTCAGAGAAGTTCTCACAAGGAAGAAACTCTCTTTATATGTAGGACACAAACTTAGAAAGGACGTAAAAAAACTGACAATAACGTTGTGCATCTAGAGTGTACACCATCTAGAGTGTACACTCAAACATACATACGTGCTGTCAGAAACATTTAAACACCCAAGTGCAATCATACGTACGTTGTACACACACGCACACGAACCAGGTATTTTGTTGAGAGCTTCGTGAAAACCAAACTGCTGATATTCAATGACGGCAGTGACGGCCTTTGCACCCCAATCGAAAACATTACCAGCTAGTACTCCACGCACGAGTTCAAACCACTGCGAGTCAAAGTTCAACAGGTCAAGTTCATTTATCCGCTCTTTGAATTGAGATAGCGCTTGTTCGTTCTCCTGTTGCTTTTGCTGTGAGGCAAGTTGCAAAGAATAAGACGGGGTAATACAAATAACAATTGCATCAGTTATAAGGAAAAATGAGTGGGAAGATGATATGTAATGATAACAATAACAAAAATAGAGATGTTAACATGAACTGACCAGTGAGTAAGGGTCAACAAAATGAAATTCTTCGAGGCAGTGTTCTCTGGTGTCTAGAAGGCTACGAACGGTCAGCGAGCCGTATGAACTGCATGTCAGTGTAGTCAACCATGAATCATCATTAATGCAACTTTCAAGAATATGAATAATTAATCTATCATTCAATCAAACAGTAAACGAACACGCAATCTATCACTCACTCATCTGTACAAACAATCAAATAAAATCAATCAATCAAAACAATCAAATAACTATCCAGCAAATGAACAAGCAAACAACCAATCGACTGATCAATCGATAGACCACTGAAGAAACGAACCAAGGATTGACTCGCAGATGTTTCAATCGACTGATATACTTCTCCTTGAACTTCAGTGCTCTCTGCTCAGCATCCGACTTGCTCGGCTGAGATTGAACTGCTCTTTCGGCAAACTAGTCGTCAAAAATTTACAACTGAGGCATTCGCATGGCTTAATAAACACTAATGCATGGCACAACACACACACACAAACAAACACACACACGTCCACAAAGGCCTACTTGTTCAGTGGCATCGTGGAAACATTGCAGCCAGTACTCCCTGGCATGCTGGTCCCTGGTGAGATCAACGGTGTCGGGCACATACTTGTTAGGGTCGTTTAACAGAGGACAACAGACCAATGGCTTGGAGAATCTATCCAACTCCAACACGTCAAACTGTGCATGGATGGATAAAAATGTTGTGAATATTTGATAGATGGATGAAGGATGGATATATGGATGGATACATGGATGGAAAGATGGATAGATGGATACATGGATAAAGAACAAACTAAAACTACTGTTGTATTGTAAAGAATGTGATTGTCTAGGGCGAAATCATCATCACTATCTTCATCATCGGCATCCTCCTCATCATTAACATCATCGTTATCGAGATGGGCACGTTGTTGTTGCTGTTGTTGTTGATGGTCAGTGGGATTGTTATGAGAGCAGTGTGAAAGATGCTGAATGTTGCAATGTTGCTGGTGCTTCAGTCCAGAACTTCCAGCGTAGTTCTCGGCCCATGACGAAGTCGTTGTGCGCGTCCAACAGTACTTGCTCGTATCTGCGCGAGAGAATTAATTAGCAAATATCAAATAATTAATTAAATATCAATTAATTATCCAATTATTTTATTAATTAATTAAATTGATCAATTGATTAACATCTTCATCTTCTGTACAATTTACGGCGTTTTAGCACAATGAAAAAAAGAGTATCTTTATGCCATTTATTCTTTAAATTATAAAGAAATTTTATTATTTTCATCATAAGATACTCTAAAGATTGTCAAGCAATTTTATGTCTGACAAAAAGTTAATTAATTAATTAATTGAATAATTGATTAATTAATTAATACTGAATATTACTGAATATTAAAGAACATGAAGTACATTTAGTGACCAGTAGAAACATTTTGCACCCTCCAACTAATGAATTTTTGTTTGATTTTCAGAAAGATTACAATCGTCTCATGACTAATGCAGTGGACGTTGTAAATTAACATTGAGATGGCTATTGAACTCGTCTATTACAACTAAGATAACTGCAGACAGCTATTGAACTTTTAAATAATACAGATGGTTGAATTAAAAAGATCAATATATCAAAATAAATGAATAAATAAAAAAATGAACCTACCTTCTTCCTCACACCCCTTCAAAAAAGCCCCGATGGCTCCGAGGTAGCCCTCATGCCGAAGAAACATGGCTTGTATGCTGCCCTGTCATTGGTTAGTTTGTAACAAGTGTTTTTATTGGTCGATTGGATGGTAATCGTAACAGGTGTTGTAAGTCGTTGGCTGGTTAGTTAGTAACAAATACTACTAAAACATTAAACATCATAATAGTAATAAATTCGATATTTAAAGATTACCTGGCCAGCCCCAAACAAACAACTACACAAACATGCCCTCACCTTCGACCAGAAATTGATAGCATAGGTCATGGTGTACATGGTGATTGGATGACCTCGAATGAAGTAGCCACCGAAGAATATCCTCTCCAAGTTGTGCAGTCGAGCGTTGAGGCAAGCTATCTGGCCGATGTCGTTGCTGATGCTTATCAACAAACTTTTTGCCATGTCTGCATCTCTAAAGTTCATCGCTGTTTGTGTGTTTGTTTGTATGTGTGTGTGTGTGTATGTGTTTGTGTGTTTGTGTTTGTTTGTGTGTGTGTGTGTGTGTGTGTGTTTGTATGTGTATCAATGTTTCTACATTTGTGCGTGGGTGTATATTGTATGATAAAACGAAAAGATATGGTAACAGAGACATAACACGTGTGTATTAACCTCTTCGTGTAACTCACGTAAATAGTATAAAAAATGAAACAAAGTGCAGTAAGAGCATAACTGTGTCTACAAGAGGACAGCAAGCACAAGTTGAAACAATGCGCAAACTCCAACAAAAATAACGTACAATATCAACAACATATACAAACAACATCAACAACATATACAAACAACATCAACAACATATACAAACAACATCAACAACATATACAAACAACATCAACAACATATACAAACAACATCAACAACATATACAAACAACATCAACAACATATACAAACAACATCAACAACATATACAAACAACATCAACAACATATACAAACAACATCAACAACATATACAAACAACATCAACAACATATACAAACAACATCAACAACATATACAAACAACATCAACAACATATACAAACAACATCAACAACATATACAAACAACATCAACAACATATACAAACAACATCAACAACATATACAAACAACATCAACAAACAACGACGACGTACATTAGCGAAATTCAGAAAGAATTTTAAAACTCACGTTGCCTGTCCCTGGCTGACCTTGCTGCCTTTCCAAAACTGGAAGCAATGAGATCAGAAGGCAGATGTAAGGTCTGGTAGGCACCTCCGTAGATGTCGCCAACCAACATGTCAACATTCTTGTGCTCTCCCTGTTCCGCTAGCTGAAGCAATTCATCAAATCCCTAATGCATGGAAACAATTTCAAATGTTTAAGAAAGTTAGAAAGATTTATGTAGAGAGGTTGTGGATGTTATGTTTCGATATATTTATGTCACAGGTATTAATGCAGGCTTGTGAAGTGGATGATAAGCAAGATGACCTTGGCGTTGGTCAACAGTGACCCGAGACCCCAGAACGTTCCACCCCCCAGTGACGACCCACCAATCCTCTCAAACTCCGTCTCTGAGGAGACCTGCAGTGTGGTTATGGTAGGAGGAAAGTCACGAACAAAATGGTGGCAATGCTGATGAAAAGTTTGTGTTGCAAGCACGAATCAATGACCATGAAGATGATGACGCTCTGGTGACAAAGAGCAAATTAAGCTGACGGAGATGAAGAGCAAGCAGGTCAAAAGATTAAGTCAGAAACATTTGCATGAAAATAGAATAGATAAAAATAATACACGCGGAGATCATACTAGCCTTAATAAGGCTAACACCTGATCCAATATTGACAAGGAGGTATGGAAAAATGGAATCTCCATCTATTTTAAGAAATCGATAGTCGGGATTTCCAGGTTTGTTGAATACAAATGCTTCATCCGGAATGTTTTTCAGGAGGAAATTGCATCCTTTGATGAGGCACTCCATCTCATCTTCCTTGTCAACCCTGTTGCAATTTCATCAAACAAACACTTCTGTAACTTTATGAGTCTTGAGAGGTAGTCAACAAAAATGAAAAAAAATTATTCAATAAAGTTCAATTTCATTTTTATTATCCCACCCCACAGCATTTTTTTCTTCGACGCTAGCACACTTTTTAATATCCACGCCAACGTGAGTTGCTCATTTACTTTCAATTAACTTAAGATCAAATTTTAACCATAAGAGCTGCTTCCCTTAGAACTGATGCATACAAACAAACACAAGTAAGCGTACAAACGCGATGCACCATACGATGGAAGTGAGGAAGTACAATCTCAGAGTTCAGCGTAAATAACATTCATTCAATGTCTCTCTTTTCATGAATATATGGCATAGGACAGCATCGTACGTAAATCTATTACATTAACTAACTGAACTCCCAGTTTATTGCACAAGAGATCTTTGAACTTGTAAGCCCCGCCTCCTGTCACCTTGATGACCTTGCCCTTCATGTGTTCCTGAGTGCCAACGAGGTGCTTGCGGATGAAGTCGATGCACGTCTCCATGTACCTGCAATGGAAAGTTATCAGCCGGTAGTTTAAAAAAAATTAGAAAATGATGTTACTAGAAACACAAAAAGCTATAAATAGAAACAAAAGATAACAAAAAAAACGACCTGCTTTCAAATTTCACAAATCTCAACTCATCTCTCATTTCATCCGTTTCAACGACTTTGTACACTCCGCCATTGCTTGACTTTAATTAAATATTCGCAGATTTTTACAAAATATTATTTTAATTATATCAAAAAGAAAAAACAAATAAGTTAATTTTAGTTTAGTAATAATTGTAATAATTAATAATCTATATAAATAATTTATATTAATAATAAATAATAATTTTAATAATCTCAGAATGACAGAGTGAATAGGATGGCAGACCTCAGTTGATTCCAACGCAAGTGGCTTCTTCTTCGAAACAGTGGAATAGTATGCCAGCTTAGCAAGTGAACCGCCTGAATGGCAAACAAGAAGGTTAGGAATTTATAGGATGATGGTGATAAATTATTGAGATGGTGTTGTAAAGTTATCAAAATTATAAGAACCAACAAATATAAACAGATGAAAAATAAATAATTAAAAAAATGAATTAACCAGTAAACGACAAACTAATAAAAAAAACCAACCAACATCCAATGAAAACCTAACACCTCTTACATTATTACAACCAATGGTAGGATTATTTCTAAAATATTTACAGACCAAACAGATATCAATATTAAAATTGACACTATGCTGTGCTTTCGTGCTCATATTAAATGTTATGGGGAGAACTTTTTAAGATAGTTTATCTATTCATTCATTTATTTATCTAATTATCTATCTATAAATTTTTCATGATCCACCTTAAAATTAATTAATGAATTAAAGACATTACTTAAGAAGTAATATTACTTAATTTATGACAAAATTTTCCAATTCTAAAAGTTCACTCCTTACAATTGACATGCATGATTATACATAATCAAGAACATGAGCAAACAAATATGGGATATTCAACAAACAGAATATAAGTATACATCACACACACACCAAACACACAAACATACGCATACACACGCACATATATACGATACAAATTGCTACATTCATACTTATAGAAAAGTATATCAAATAACTGTTTGAACTGATCATTCTACATGCAAGAACTGACATATTTTGAAACTCTGAACTATAAACTGTGAACAACTTGTAGTGTCATTATACAGAACGACACATGCACTTACATGAAGATACATTATATATATATGTGTGTGCGTATAAATATAACTGTTAAGAAATAGTTATTCCTTAATATATATATATATATATATATATATATATAAACTTATAACTTATATACACTATACATATAATTGTTATTTAATAATTTTAAGAAATCAGTAAACTGACAAAAACTGAAAATGCTGTAATATTTCTTGATAATTGTGTCTACAACAGTCTTAACCTTAATTTGATATATATATATATATATATATATATATATATATATATATATATATGGCTGAGTGTATATATGTATATATATATATATACACACACATATATATATTTGCTTAATAATATATTTGCTTTGTCATTACATAGTACATATGATTCTCTTTCTTACTACATCTATTAAATATGTGTATTGTGTTAAATATATCAACATACAAGTACGATAAACTATAAAATTATATGACATTATGATGAATAGATTGACAGATTCGAAGCATTGCTTAGCAGTGGATAAAAATATCTAAATAATTAATAATAGGAATAAGCTGTATAATATTATAAATATATTAAAGAATGATTTTTACTATTACAAGCTACAACAACACTAAGTGTCTGTTTTACACTTTACTCAACTGTATGATGGCGGATGGATGGGTGTCTCATTTCTTCATTATATATATAGATTCATTATATACATATTAGGGATGCACCGGATTCAGGTTTTTCAAATCCGGCCGGGGCCGGACTTGGCCGGATTTAAAATTCAAAAACCGGCCGGGGCCGGATTTTTGTTACCATTTTACATACGTTAGAAAAAATACTCACATTTACGGTTATCTACATGTTGAACATCAAAAAATAACACCAAGCAAAAAGTTATTTAATTCAAATATATGAATAAGTTGTGTGATACGCCAAATTCTGTACATAAAGATCAGCTTATAATTTATGCATATTTGCATAACCCATGTTAAAGCACAAAGAAAATTGTCCAGCTCACCGCACAATTAGTGATGTTGTAATTATGTGTCATGTATACCTAACCTAACCTTTAACATACCATGTTCTTAAATTATGTGCTTATGTATCTCTCTCTCTCTCTCTCTCTCTTTCTACATATATATATATATATATATATATATATATATATATATATATATATATAACTCATTCATTCTGAAGGATTCATTCTGAATCGAAATATGGCCTTATTTGCAGCATAAATTCGGAAAATAAATTTATTTTGAATTTTAATAAACTAAACTTTCACCAAAAATCTTTAGTGAGAAAAATTGAAAAAAACTAACTACAAACATATTAACGCAAAACATTCGGTAAAATTTATAGAATATTGTAAAAATTATGGTCTATTACCAACATATATATATATATATATATATACATGTTGGTAATAGACCATAATTAATTATATATATATATATATATATATAGTATATATATATATATATATACAGTATTGTATGAATTTTACCGAATTGTTGGCATTAATTAATTTAAAGTTATCTTTTCAATTTCCTTTACTAGAATTTTCTGGAAATTGTTCAATTTGTTAAAAATATAATTATCCAAGTCCATCATGAAAATTTAATGAAACTGTTGTTATCCAAATTCATTATGCAGATTGGGCCTTATTTGGATTTTCAGTGCATGTTTGGTTCATAACTTTATGTAGTTTCTTTAAACACAGCAAAGTTCTTCAGCAAAATTTATCAGCTAGTGTAGTATTCTTCATTTTTGTTGTTGTCATTCCTTTGTTCTTCATTGTTATTGAAGTTAGTATTCTATTATCATTCTTCGTTAGATGTTTATTTGGGGTTTATTGATATCTATTACAATAGCTTCTGTATGACAGCTTCTGTAATTTTTAAATGTATTGTGTTGGTGTTGACGATATCCTCGTCTCATATCTTGTATTCAGTATTATTGTGATGTCATATGCTTTTTTTTAACTACCAGTTATTAAGCCTTCTTCAGGTAGTTAAAAAAAAGTTTAAAAAATCACCCTGTTACAGAAGGTGATTAAATTTAAACTGATGACAAAAAATTTCTTCACTAATCGAAATTGACAAAAAATTAGTGATTAATTAAGCAACCTAACATTATCAGTATTAACAAGAAAGAAAGAAATCTGATAAAATAAAACCCAACCAATATCTATGGCAAATCTTTTTGCATTTCTCAAATGTTTGAAAACTTCACAGGTAGCTAGGTCGAGATTATTTTTCAAGTGATTCTTTTTAGTTTTGTTAGCCATATTAATAAAATTGAAAAAAAAACAAATAACTTTTAATTAAAATGTGCTAAGATTAAATTAGTGTCCTAACAAAGACAAAATTCTTACACCAAAATCATAATCTTATTTATTTTGGTAAAAAATGAAAAGTGAACAGTAGTTATTAAAAATATCAAATTAATTGTTTAGCGTCAACTTTAATATTTTAAAAAAATACATGTTTTACAATAACTACTATTTAATATATTAGTTTTTTTAACTTTTAATAATAATTTTTTTAATCTTAATTTTATGCTTCGCAAATAATTAACTTTCTTATCTTTGGTTACACGACCATTTTGTTATCCATTAATATGTTGTTTAGCCCGTTGTTCGCTGATTGCTTAACTAATCTTGTGCTCGCGGTAGCATTTGTTCGGATTTTCTAAAGTTTCAAGTTAAAATTCTTCATTCCAGTTTTTCTGTGAATTTTCAGATCGAAAGTGAAAAGTCCGTTACTCAAGAACATCTGAGGTCATTTTCGATTTTCCGGTTCTGTTTTCTCATTTCTGTTGCTGTTTAATTTTGGTTTAGTTGGCTCTTCTCATCATGTATGTTATTTTATTTATTTATGTAATATACTAAAAACTAATTAACCATTGAAATAGGTTATCTGTATTTAAGTTGCAATGCTTTATATTTAAAATATAATTTTAAATGTTTCATCATCATCGATCAATTAAAATTAACAAAATGACGAAACAGCGGAAACACAAATAACAAAACTCAAAAGCCTTCATTTGTATGACATTTTCAATCATGCAACAATCAGTTCATTTTATAAAATATTAAATTAAATGTTCTTTAAAACTTAAAATTGATAGTTTAATAACTTTAATTTAATAATCAAACAAAGTAAATAAATAAACTAAAGTGCATATATATTTAATAAATGATTCATTAATATTTTTCATTTTCACTTTCAACCCAAATAATTATTTTGAAAATTACAAAAAATGTGTATATCTATCCTACCTGACTGGCTGCTGATCTGTTTGCTTCCCTTCCGTTCATTTCTGTCATCTCTATCCAGTAAAACTAAAAGAAACTTAAATACCATCATTCAGTAAATAATACAAAACATTTAATATTATTAATATATTATTACAAAACATAACTCAATAGATCTTACTTTGTATAATTGTAATCAATTTCCAGGAATCTTTAAAAAAATCATTAGTCCAGTAATTCGTGAATTACGAGTGAAATGACTTAAAATTTGAATTATCAAATATAATGATCTGTATCTTAATTTATTTCAATAGTTATTCACATCAGCCAAAAAGAGTCAAAGCTAGATTTATGAATTTTGATTTTTAAACTGTCACGATATCTAAAGTTTATTTAAAAGATTGAATAAGTAAAATTTGTTCTCAGGAGTTAGTTTAGCATGATGATGTCTCCATAGCTGAAGATGTCTAACAAATCTAGCTAAATGGTTTATATTTGTGTTTGTAGGTAAACTAAAATTGAAACAAGTTTATGCCATGAATTCAACCAAATTATTTTATATCACATTACATTGGTTCAAAACATTATTTTATTTTAATTATAGTTTGTTGATTGGTATGATTTTAAACATTTGAAACGATTGAAACCTGAATTCACCTAACGTGTTAATTAAAGTTGGACCTGAGAACTATTCCCAGCACTATGTATTTGTGGACAACTCAATTTAAAATTAATGTTCCTAAACTTTGTAATATATATGTGTATATTTATTTATTTATATTTATTATTAATATTAATTATTTTTTTCTGAGTTTGGTAAGGGTTTTTAAATTGCCCTGTCTTTTTATAGTTTTTTACTGAGCTTCCAGTCCAGAAGTCAATCATGTCATCTTAAAGTTTGCATGTGAATAATTGTCGTGAGTGGTTACAATGGCGCGGAATCTTCCATGTTAACATTTAGGTTCAGGCGCTATAATTCAATTCCTAATTCAAAACCGTATTCATGTTTATAAAACATATGCTGGCAACAATATAATAAATATTTAATAGTTTAATTTAACATTTGAGAGACGAGACGAATACATCAAAATTTATGTATTCTTGAAAATTATTTGATGGTGTCATTTTAGTTTTGTGGCAGATGTGACCTTCGAATATAGAAAAAAAATTCTGCCCCATGTTCCCTAGCTTTCCGCTAACTGATTACTTTCATATTGGATTCATGTTCTTGCCCTTGTGCAGTCCCGCCAACGATCTATTCCTCGGTACATTCTCCAATTCGTTTTTGCCATACGGCTCGTTTCCAAACGGTTGTCCCAGTTTCAGAACAACTTCATTTTTTCAGCAATTGTTTCATCTTGGTTCTGAACAAAGATATAATTCTTTATGGTCTCGTAAAATGTTTCATAGAAATGCAGTCTCACACGTTCATTACCAATCAAACCAAAACAGTTTATGTTAATATAATTTGATTTACCAAGCTTTGCGTTATTCGATTAATTCATAAATTTTGAACAAATAGAAGCTGAAATTATGGAGCGTCTGACCGGAGTGCTGGCACTTCTTCGCCGTTAATAGATGCCTAAGTACTTGCGACTCGATGCCGAGTCTGTCAATCTTTAAAGCGGTCGTTGACATTGGTTGTGCGCTTTGGTTGTACATTTAAACGTGGTCGAAACTGTGAAAAATTTAGATATCCGCCTCGGATCAATGATAAAGATGAAACATTATTGACACCGAGTTAATATTTTCTACCACGGCTAGTCGGAAATGATTTGAGAGGTTTGTCACGTTGATGTTAACTAAAATACTTCCGTTACAAAATATCCGCAATTTAATAATGTCCGAAAAGTTACAATAGTCCGTGTTAGGATGACTGGCATCATGTATAAGTTCAAGAGTATCTAAATTCAAACTACATATTTGATCAAAGGTGAGAAATATGGGACATTTCGTACCAAGAAATCATAAAATCAAATACTTGTTTGCACATAAGCCATATTGCAGATCTTTTTAGATCGACTGCTTGTATGTTTTGTTGGAAAATAAAATAAGTTACACGTTTTGGCTGTATTGGCCTGTTATGTTCAAAACCAAAATTTGGAAAATTTAATAACTTTTTATTAATTATACATTGACACTAAGTTAACACACGTTCTATCGAAAACACTAAGAAAAATTATCATCAAAATGCTTGATTTTGAATGATGCTCACGTTTTTATTTGCAAGTCTGGTGCTTTAATAGACAACTCCAGGCAGGAATGAATGTGTGGATATGTGTGTGTCTAAATGTTAAATATATGTGCTGTTTTGGTTACGACGTTAAGTTTACCTTATTTGATATTTGCAACTGAAACAGTCTTTTATACGCATACATACATTTTAAATTTACGCTTTTATGATGACATGAAAATGAAAATCGGCGCCTCCTGTACAATAAATTCTACCTGTAGCTGGATAACCTTTGCGTTCGATACATTTTTGAGCTGTCTTAGCTAAAATTTAAACAGATGAGTAAGTGCTTAAAAATCTTAATCAAGTTGACATACAACTAAACATTAAAATGTTTACTTTCTATACATTAATTATATATTTCGCATGAAATTATTGATCTGAACATTCCCAAGTGTACTCAAACTTTAAAATTGCTCTTAAGAACGCCTTCAGTTATGTCGGTTTTTTGTGACTAGGGACGAATCATTTTCACATTAAAATCAAGACTAAATTTTTTTTCTTCAGTTGAGCCATTAAATTTTAGCATAATTTGGCGAAGTAAAACGTTCCAATACCAGAAAAGAAACTCGCATAAATTAAAGGCTCAAAATTATGTAGTAGAATTATTATTTACAAATTTTGTGTTAAATGAAAAAATGTTCGAAGGCATATCTATTGGCGTTTTTATTTATAGAGATTTCTGTTCCGAACAGCACTATGAAATTTCTTTAATCAGTTGCTATGCGAATTTTTAAAGTGTTTGTAATCAAAGTCCCGTTTAATTCTCCTTATTTTCGTCACATTTGGTTCAGGGAATCGATTTGCGTTGATGTGGCTTATGCATGATATAACGCATGCAAGAGATCTAAGTCCAGATGCTCAACTGTCGTCAGTTAAGTTTTTCGGTCGATAAAATGGACAAAATTTTGTTTCTATTAAACTGATCACCAAAAATTAACGTTTGAAAATATTCATATGTAGACATATTCAAGGTAATGAGACTTGACCGACCAAATAGTGAAAATTTCATATCTATCGCTGTCCAACGTGATAAAACTCCTATCGTTTTTTAATTTAGACTAGAAGATGGACGAAAGAACATTGGATGTTGATAGCAGTATGGATATTCATTCAGGTAATCAATTTATCAGCGGATCAGATCCCTCAATCCGTTCTAATCCGTTTTTTGGCCAGGTTTGTTCTCGGAACTTGGTATCTTGTTTTTTGGCTTAATAAAAATTTCATTTGACCCGCGCTTTGAAGTTATTTAAAAAATGTTGGAATTAAATTAAATGTTGCCGGTAGGTGGAACCTATGATTGGCGGAAATGCCAGCTTTTCATGCGATCCATTCAATTATGAGCAATGTCTTTCTGATGACCCACACATTATGGAGTCAGCCCTCGATACCATTTTATGCGTGAATGATGAAGAAGAAGTCGTTGATGAACCGTATGATGTACATTTTAGCGCATTGTAAGTGTTCGCATTGTTAAGAATTTTAAAATTTGTAGTAATTTTCATAAATTGTCGCAAGAGATCATCAATCATGTTTACCGCAGTTTAATAGTTTCATCATTGTTCTGTCATTGGTTTTCGTTTCATTATAAGCATATCAAACAACCTTTTGTCTCACTCCAACAACTAACAAACATATTAAAAAATAAACCGTTTTAATAACTCTGATTATCATTCGAATGGATTCGATTCTGCTAATTTTTCATACCTGTTAACTAAAAACCCAAAGCAACAGAGTAAACGATGAGGAAGTTTCCGATTCCTTTGAGGATAACAGAGAGGAAGAGGAGATTGAGGTG